AGATGCCCCTGCCCATAGCAGGGGGTTTGGACTAGATGACCTTTAGATGTCCCTTCCAACCCGAACTATTCTATGATAATCTAGGGTCATTTTAGAAACTAAGACAGGAAAACTCCTGGGGAATGGAAAGGGAGAATTTCCTACCGCATGTGATGCAACCTAGTCCAGTTATGTTTGGGGTGAGGCCTAATGTTTTTGGGTTTGGGGTTTTTTTTGCTAAAGATTCTGCTTGTTCTCTGATAGTGAATGTGATGGCTGGAAAATCATGTTTCTATTTCTTTAATTAGCCTTTTGGTTTTTGAGTCTTTGCATTACAGTCTGGCCACAGCACAGCAACTTACTGCACAACTGTGAAGAGTGGAAAGGCTGTATATGGGTGATTTGGCAGGGAGAGGATTGATGGGTGGTTTTTTTTTTTTGGAAGCCCGAACTCTCAGTCTGACGCTAGAGCTGGAGCCAGACAGCATACTAACACAGGCAAGAGCACAACTATTGTGCCCCAGGCAGCTGATCCCAGCAACTGAGCTGCTGGACCTGGTTGTTTTCCATCCACCTCCAGCACAGCCCTGGAGCTGGTTTTAAGTGTCCTTCAGTGTTAGATTGTTTCCTCCTTAGCTCAGAAGACTTCTGTGTTTTGAGACCCTGTTTTACTTGAAGTCGTAGAGTACCACGAATGACTGCATGACATCGTGTTTCCTTTGTGTCCTTTCTGGCTTGCTACCTTACTTTTTTTAGCCATTCTGCAAGAGCCCTGGCAAAGGGCTCTATACGTTCGTCATACCTCTAGCAGAGGGACTTAGCCTCCCCCTCCTCCCCCCCAGTTACTGATGTACCAAATGCTGGTTGTAGCGACCCTCCTGGTGTTTCAGAGCATCCTGCTACATAGTAGCTCAAGGTTATTGGTGGCTCAGCCCCTGGGGGAGCACAGTTTCGCAAACGTTGGCGTCATGCTGCTGCTGTGCAGTCCCTCTGTGAGGACTTTTGTCAGGGCCCAGGCTCTAGCCGTGCTTTCCTCTCCATCGCCTGGTCAAAGCAAGCAAAATTGCTCACCTTGAAAAGTTCATTTTTTTTTGAATGATCAACTGTATCACATTCGAAACAAAACATTTTACTTTCAGGGATGTTCATCATTGCTTTCTAGTATTGATGTGGTAAGTTTGGGTTAACTTTTAAGTGGAGCGTTTGTAATTCCTGAACTAGGGCATTTCCTTTTGGGAGTGAAGAGGAAGGCATTTGCTGAAGCTATTACTGGCTTTATAAATTATCAAATAAACGCTTTGCCTGAATCAGAAACGCTTTGGGGCCAGATCATTAGAGAATATTGTAATTTGAGCAAACATGTTGTAGAACTGCAAGGGACAGAATGAGACCATCCTCGCCAGCTCTTACAACATAAAACTCGGAACTGTGGGCTACGTGAGCCATCAGTACCCCTGAATTGTGTCGCATGACAGCCTTTGGATGCTGTGCCCACAAAAACTTCAGCATGCTAAAAAGGACAATCAAACTGATGAGATAATAAAATTACATTTCTAGATGATTATTATAAACAAAACAAAGGTATGTTGTGGGATCTCAGCCATGCGACACTAGCTTCTTGCATAAGCTGGTACTTCGGAAATTTGTAGCGGGAATTATATTGTTTGAGCCTTTTTTATTATGCCACTGCACTGTTTTAGCGCAGATATGGATTGTATGAAGGCAGGAGCTCTGCTGATAAACCTGGTTAAGGATGTGGAATACAGAATTGTCCTCACATAGCTTTGTCTGATATTCTGAATGTCTCTGCAATAAAATCACTGTACGATGTGAGGCACAGAAAGACTGGGGAGGAAACACATGACACTCTCTTCCGTCTTTACCAATTCCTTTATTTCAAGATTTACCTGCTGCTACGTGGTCCTGGTCATGGCCATAGCAACCAGTGTTAAGGGAACAAAAGTTTATCTCCAATCAGTTCTCGATGTACTGGCTATATGGTTCTCCATCCCACCTGCACTGATCACAGGGAGCTTTTCCATTTGTCAGTGTCCTCACCAGGCGGTGTTATTGGCACTACTTCTATTTTTCCAGCCCAGATTCGAGGGGTTTCTAACTAATTCAGCACCCTTAAGACACAGAATTTCCTCCTCTTCTGCATATTGACAGCACTGTTTCCTGTGCTAATGACCAAGGCCAACTCTAAGAAAATGGATGGAGTAATTCTGTCTTCTGCTCTTTGCCTCTCTTCAAAGGCTGATGTGCAAAAACAAACGCTGCAGCAGAGGTCAGACCAGGTACAAATGGAAGAGATTCATCAAATTTGAGATGAATATCAAAAAGAGAATTTCAGTTCTGTGAAGCCAGTGGAAACTACTCTTCAGCTAGGACTAGCAGTGTTGGCTGCCACATGAACAGTAATGCCTCTCTCGTCCATTACTCGAGAACTTTTAAAAGACTTTCCCACTAGTGAGTATTTTAATTTTTTTTTAACTTTTTAATTTTTTTTTTTGTCTCAGAATGTCCAGCCCTTGAGAGATTTGTGGCTTTGAATTCCTTCTTGAGGAAAGAGACAGGTTTGGGGTTTTTTTTTTCCCCTAACTGGAATAGTTTGCATAGAGGAAAATGCAGAGCTTCTTAGTATTTTATACAAATAATTTAGCCTTTAAACCCGTCCATCCTAGTAACTCTAGTTCCTAAACCACCTTCCAAGTGGGAAGGTATTTTAGGAGAAAGCACAGATTTGGACACAGTCAGTAGTGCTCTTAATGTCAAAAAAGCAGAAAGGTTGGTGCCTGCGCTCCATCCTTTCTGGCATGCTTCCTGGTGACAATATTTGGTCTCGGTTCCTCTTCTCGGAAATGAAGCTCAAAAGCCCAGTTGGCTTTGGCTCACAGGACCTGAACCGACTGCCCCAAACGCACAAGGAGCCCTCACTGCTCTCCCAGAACTCCATCTCCAGCTGGTCTCACAGCTACTCTTCTCCGGAGGTACCTGAAATCAATGATGGTTTGACCTGTCGCACGGTGCTGGGATAGACAAGATCAGACAAGACAAGCGGTGTCACTACTTCCTTCCAGCTTCACGCTCCTGACCATTCTTTGGGATTCAGGTCAGTGACAATGATTATAGATCCCTCTTTTATACTCCAGAGGAATGATTGTCAGTTTTTAATGTGGACTAAATTATTTTTGTAGTCATTCCCTAACATCTGAACTACCTAACCCACAACTGAAGAGAGACATCTGCTGCCACAGACATGAGCCATAGGCAATTTTAGTCTGAATGCCTAATATTTGACAATAATATACAGAATAGAAAGTAGAGTCTTTCAGGGGAGATACAAAGCAGGCTTAAATGCTGACATTTTACCAGCTCTGTCCACAGTAACGTGCCATTTCCAGTCTCTGTATGGTCTGCCCGCAGAGAACCTAGACTGCAGTTTGGTCCAGGAAAAAAAACCCACCTTCCACTGAAAAGCACAGTTCTGATCTTCAGGTTTTAGATGTGGGTCTACTGGATGCCCTGGTTTATCCAGCCCTTTGCTAAAATTAGAAGTATTCAGAAGGTTCTATGCCATTTTAATTTGTTCCTGTCGCCTGTGTAGGTACCGTCACATTAAAAAGGGAGACTTAATTAGTGGCTAGGGCGCTAGCCTGTGAACTGGGCACCTCTGTTCACATCGTCACGCCTGCAGATGTACTGTTAAATGGGCCAGTCAGTTTCTCTGCTGCCTTCCCTCCTGTCTCTGGCCAGCTGTTCCGGGAGTAGCGTGCTGGAGAACATGTGCCTGGTGAGGGTGACCACTGCAGGATAATTGCAAGCAGGCAAGCCTGCTGCCAGCAGCGGTGAGCTGCATGGGACGCTGAGGCAAAAATACCTGAGAGCACTTGCTCTATTTTGCATGTCACGGTTTGGCATAGAAGTGTGGAAATCTGCCTACTGGAGTGGTTACGAGCATCATCTCTGGCCAGTGTGTTTTTTCTGTTACTAGATTCACCACAGATTTCAATTGAATTAGGTCGCTGCATTACCACAAAAAACCCAGTGGTGTTCCTGAAGTAATTCTTAAAAGGTTTATTCTTCCGCTTTTTTCCTCTACATTTACCTATGGTTATTTGCACCACTGGGGGTGACAGGAGAGAGGCCTGCTCTGTAGGTTTCAAACTGGTTCGGAACCAAATAAAGGTCATTTGTAGATTTATTTGGGAGCACTCTTCTAAGTATGCACGTGATTATGGCCAGGGCTCAGTTTTGGGGCCGGTCTTGTTCAATCTCTTTATCAATGATCTGGATGAGGGGATCGAGTGCTCCCTCAGTAAGTTTGCAGACGACACCAAGTTGGGCAGTAGTGTTGATCCCCAAGTAACTAGCGATACGATGAGAGGAAATGGCCTCAAGTTGCGCCAGGGGAGGTTTAGATTGGATGTGAGGAAAAATTTCTTTACTGAAAGAGTGGTTAAACATTGGACCAGGCTGCCCAGGGAAGTGGTTGAGTCCCCATCCCTGGAAGTATTTAAAAGACGTGTAGATGAGGCGCTTAGGGACATGGTTTAGTGGGCATGGTGGTGTTGGGTTGATGGTTGGACTCGATGATCTTAGAGGTCTTTTCCAGCCTTAATGATTCTATGGTTGTGGTCTGCCCTGAGCTATGTGCATTTGAGCTCTGTCTTGCTGTGAAACAAAGCAGATTTTAAGAGGATTTAATTTACAGGACTAAAGTAGAACAGGTTTTTTTTTCCCTAGGTTTACACCATTAGCGTAACTCTCACCAGTAACTGCTTTCATTGATCATAAATTTGAGAAGCAGCTTATGCATTTCAGTAGAAGCTTGTCTTACTACAAAAGATTTGAAGCCATCTCTGAGAAACACGTAAGTTGCTGGCTGGCCTTTTCTTAGGGGGCAGAAGTTTCCCGCCCTATAGCTTCGTAACTGGGTTCAATACAAGGAAAGCAGCGCATAGCCTGTGTTATCTTCCAGTGGTCCTTACTGGCCTTGAGTCTACTCATCATAATAACCAAACCGCCCAGACTTACAGGGCTTTAAACAGAGGACTGTGACTGCAGAAGAAAAACGGGTCTCTGCCTCAAACAAAAGGCGGCGTTCCCCAGGACCCTCAGGGGGGCCTGGGCCTATGGTCCAACATCAGAACAGCTCTTGGAAAACTGATCGTTGCAGCAGAGGGACGGAGCGTGCTGAAGGACATTGTTGCTTTACCCTGTTCCGTGGCCGAGCAGGGCTTCAGCGTACAGAGCCCTGAGCAGCTCAGCGATGTTCCTGGGCTTGGCTCCAGTCCGTAAAGAACACAAGATGAGCGAGAACAAAAAGCAGAAAGCCGACCCTAGGAAAAACTTGCCGCTC